GAGCAGGGAGGTAGGAACATTTGCAGGCCTTTAAAGGTCAGTGTGTGGCAGCTCAGGGCTGCAGGGCAGGCTCAGGCCCTGCTCAGGCCCTGCAGCACAAACACTATAAATAATCTGTGGTTTTTGATTTTGACCACAAAAGCACCACTGGCCTCATCCGTCAGTGTGGGACATGGAGCCACAGCCGAGAGAGCAAAACCTGAGGTGTTGGCTCTTCAAGTTGCATTTAGCTGCTGTAAATTAGATTTTCTGTATTACTGTTGAACCACAGCTTGGGGGGGTTCCCATAAAAGCTGTTTTTCTTTGCAGCCATTCAAGTTGGACCTCATACCTTTCGTCTTTGGTGCTTCCTTAGGGGCCGTGATCTCTCTGCATCGAAGTGGCTCCTCGTGGAAATTGAAAGTCGGAAAGATCCGTCAAAATAGGGTTGTTTTAGCAGAGCAATTTGGGCTGGAAGATTTTATCAGGAGGTGGGAGCTGCAGGTTTAAAAGCTCTTCCCAGAGCAGGAGCAATAATGGGAAGGGATTTAGCACAGTTCTAACTTAAGCCGTGTACGTGCAGTTTATGTTCTGGGCATAATTCAATACAGTTATGTTAAAAAGCAATATAATAGGGCAAGAAGAGTGCTGAGAGCTTGGTTTTGGGTGGAATGAAAACTAGGCAAAATTTATCATCCTGCTGTATATGTTTCAGGAGGAGGAAGAAGTTTGTGAATGCCCTGGACACATAAAAAAGATATTGTATTTCAGAAATTCCAATATATTTTTTTTCTTCCCTGTGTGTTTTTTTCATTTGGAATAAAGGTGTTTATGGATTATTTTTTTTTTTTTTCAAGCATAATGTATAGGATTTAGGTATAAACAGCCCTCAGATCTGGAAATAAATGACGGGATGTTTGAAACCACCACTCTTTGTGGATGCACACGTTGGGTTTCTCCAACAGAAGCTGTGGGAATGCACATCTGATGTGCATCATGGAATCCTGGGAGGGTTAAGGTGGGAAAAGGCCTTTAAGATTTTCAATACAACAATCACCCAGCACCACCACCACGTTCATCACCAAGCCATGTCCTCAAGATGCCCCATGCAGTCTTTATCTGAGCACTTCCCAGGATGGGGACTCTAGCACATCCCTGGGCAGTCTGTTCCAATGCTTTACAACCCTTCATGTGGTGGTTTTTTTCCTAATATCCCACCTAAACTTCCCCTGGCACTGCTTGATGCCATTTCCTCTCATCCTGTCCCTGTTCCCTGGGAGCAGAGCCTGACCTCCCCAGCTGCCCCCTCCTGTCTGGCAGAGCCAGAAGGTCCCTCCTGAGCCTCCTTTTCTCCAGGCTCAGCCCCTTTCCCAGCTCCCTCAGCTGCTCCTGCTGCTCCAGCCCCTTCTGTATTTATGTTACTTGGTGGGAAATAGATTTTAGCAAAGCTGTTCCCAACGTGTTCACACAGTTTCAAGTCATTCATACTTTTATGAATACATTTGATTAATGAACTCCCAGTTTCACAGTAAACCAGGGAATACAAATCTTCCAGCACTGTCTTGTCTGATATTAACCTGTTTCTTCTCCCTGGCATTAATGAGCTTGATGGAATTTTGCTCCCAGTCCCTTCTGTGCCCCTCTATGGAATATAATTATTAATATAAGTATTCCACAATGGCAGTTTAAGCAGTTGACTTGCTTTTCTCTTGGTATATTCATGATACGGCTTTCTAAAAAATTCAATTTGTGTTTCAGGTTAATGGGGAGCCATTTAAAAACTCTTGTCTATTAATATATTTCTTATCCTGCACAGCAAAGAGAAGATGATGTTTTTATGTTTCCCTCTAAGGGTGAGGACTAAAGGCTCCTCTTAGGGCCGGGGACCTAAAATATGTTGGCAAAGGCCTGTATTTCCACTTGTTCTTTCACCACAGAAGCTGCTATTCCATAAGGGAATGCAGCTGTTATTCTGTAGGAGAATATTACTGTTATTCTATGGAGGAATAACATTCAGTTTGGATGATCTATAGAACAGTGTTTTATTGCCAGGTAAGAACAAGTCACCATGGTGTTTTCCCGGTTGCTGAGGTTTGGAAAGTAACCTTTTTTCAGGAAAGACATTAAAACAATCCTTATTCTGACTGTAATCTGGAATTAATCCAGATTGCATCAATATTCAGTCGAGAACGAGGAGGCTGCAAGCCTCTGGCATCAGGAGGAACGTGGAGCATGTAGGCAGGAAACTGTTAATCCCTTTTTTTCCCTAGTCCTGATAGGCATCTCTTTGTGCAGGAGGGCTGGAGGAGGAGGAATGGAGCTGCTCTCTCCAACCTTCTCCAAACTGCTGGATCACCCTCCGAGTCCAGAGGGACTCCCAGCTCCTACAGAGGAACATATTGAATTTTGTTTCCTTCCAAATGTTGAGCCCTGGCCAGTAAAAGCTTTGGTCTCCCCAAGAATCCTCGGAATGCTGTTATGGAGTTTTGTCCATTGAGCTGCTCAGCAGCCTCGAATCAATGAGTCAGTAAAGGGCAATCAAATGAACAGAAGATAATTTGTTTTAGAGAAGTTAAAAGTTGTTTTCTGAGGTTGAACTATTATATTCTGCCCCGCTTCCAGGGGACAGGGTGTTCTGGTCGGGTCTGTATGGATTAGACACGTATAAATTGAATTAATAGCATTTTTTTATAGCCCAACAGTCCTGCTAAAGAAACCCTGTGAGTAAAGCAAACAAAAATGTATTAAGTTGTCTCAAATCAAACACCAGACGTTTCTCCAGCTACTTGTTGGCCTGTTCCCAGCGTGCCAGACCTGGAGAGTCACCCAAAGTTTGCACAAGAAGGGATCCAAAGACCTTTCTCATTTATATCAGCATGAAAGAAAAATGCATGAAAGAGGGACATTATGGGCTGTGATTTCTGGAGACATTTGGGTTATAACATATCATGTGGTCTGTCACATTCATCCCCAAAAAAGCTCATAAAATAAGAGGAATCTTGCTGTTCCCCACTCCTATATTTGAAATGTTTTTCCCTAAATTTCCTTGCTACAGAATAAGAAAGATTGATCCCTGAGTAAGGCTCTTCCCAAAGAAATCTTAATAAATGCACTTTGTCTCTGTGAGCATTTACTTAGGGTAGAATTACAGGGAATTGAACTAGAAGATCTTAATATTGTTCTTTGCTTAAATTCTTTATTAAATTTTATGAAAATTTATTATATGAGATTGTATAAAACTCTACTGCCTCCTCTTTGGTCTGTTCAGGTTCATCTTGCTGCTTCTCTAACAAGCAATGTTAATTAGGTGTATAGAAATTTTATCTCATTGCTTTAAGATGGTTTCTTAGAACATGAGTGATCCCATAGCAGAGAAATGCTCATAACCTAATTAACACAATTTAAAACTAATACCTAAATATAAGGTGATGCACTTGCATGTCCTGAATATTCTGCTTAAAAGCTTCTTGCTGTGTCTCTGCTCGCTGAAGTACCTGGAGGTTAATCCTTTGGAAATCTTAAACACCATCCTGTCTTTTAATACCAAAATTCCTGGTTTGGGGAGAGGATGACTGGATTTTCCAGGGGAGATTTGGAGCTTCAGGGGAGGTGTGGGTGCCTTCGGTGTCCTCTGCAGGGTGAGTTGAGGGGGGATGCTGGGTGCAGGGAGGATTTTTGGAGCAAATAATCAAGAAAGAAGTGTGAACAGCCTGAAAAGATGTGAATTCTCTGCAGGGCTCCTGAGCTGCAGCTCTGGAATCATCATTCCAGAATAACCTGTTTGCTTGGCAGGTTTCGGCTCTCCCAGAACCTGCTTCAGTCAACTAAAGCAGATCCATATGCAGTAGTTGGAGTTTAAACAAATCCCTGTATTCATATAGGGGGGAAAATCTCGTTGTTATTCCATGGCAAACCTCAGTGGGTTCTTAAATCATTAAATCTGAGCAAATTGGGAAATAAATCAGCCTGGGAAGGGAACTGGCTCATGCACGGACAGGATGTGTCCAATGCCCTTTCTCCAAGGTCTCATTTTGTTTGGCCTTTATATTCTGCTTTTAGTTGGGAAGTTTAATCCACAAAGGTCATTTGAAAAGCTTCAGATTATAGATGGAAAGCCTTTTTAATCTTTTCTAATAAATAGCTGAGCAGGGAATAAATCTATTGGGACCTGAGCTCTGATGTTAAGCCTCAGCACAAAATGCCCAGACGTGAGCAACACTTGGAAATTATCTCTGAAATTATTACCTTAAATAAATTTGACTTAGAAGAAGAGGTGTGTGGTTATGAAAACTGGTTTAATAAATGAAGCATTAATTGGATCTGGTGGCTTGGCAGATTCTGTCACCGTGGTCCAGATGATTAAGAAAGTGATTTAGGCACAACTGCAAACAGCAGTTTCAGTTCAGAGATTCTTTTAAATGGCAAAAAGGACTCTCTCCAGTCAGTGCTTTGGTAAGGCAGGGCTGGAATAAAAGCTTTGCATAATAAAGACTTAAAAGCATTTTGATTTTTGAAAAGCAACAGCAGCAAATGGAAACAAGGGTGTCTGAAATGCTGAAAATACTCTGGGTTATGCCAGTGCTGTGTATGACATTGTCTAACATCTGAGTAGCCTTCAAAGCATTTTCCCTCCTAACTCCACATATAATTAAAAAGCAGCTTCCTCTAGCTCATTAAAATGTAGAGTCTTGTTGGAGCAGGGTACTTGTATATTTATTTAAATGAATAAAGCACAGCTTTAATGCAGACTGCAATAACTTCAAACATTAAATCTCTTCTGCACAGCTCACACTTTATTTTTAACCAGTGTTTAGTTTCTCTTTATGAGCACCAGCTTTCAAAGGAACATGGTCCCCAGCAGCTCGTTGGATTATTTTGTGAACCACTTAAAAAACTTTCCCCGTCCCCTTTTTTTTGATGTGAAATGATAGGAAAATCCCCCAAGTTCAGTTGTGAGTGACACCCATGGAAATCAGGTGAGGCTTTTCCAGCATAATGATGGCATCTTCGTCTTTTCACAGGCATTTGGAAATGCAAAAACAGCCCATAACAACAACTCCAGTCGCTTTGGCAAATTCATCCAGGTGAATTACCAGGAGACGGGCACCGTGCGGGGGTAAGTGGTGCTGGGTGTACCCAAACCTAAACAGGCTGCAGGGGGCTGTTCGGTGCTTCGGCCAGTGTCTTTCCCAAAATTGGAATAGGAAATAAAAATTCATAGGTTTTAGCTTATTCAAATCCACTGTTATGGAAATATTGGTGCATCCAAGGTGGGTGCTAAGGTGTGGATACACCTGAGCTGCCTTCAAGCCAGCTGAGCTCTCCTTAATCCTGATGTCAAACTTTTAATGAACCTGAAAAGCAACATCTCTTCAGACAGGAGTTAAGTCAGGAAAGGGGAACATTTTAGCTGGGATGGGGTGGGGGCTGAGCAGTAGATGTGGAGTGAAAGGTTTGCCTCAGGCTCAGGAGCCAAGGGGAGGTTTTAGTCTATGGCTGGGAGTTCTGGAGGCTGTTGAGCCACACTCTTGCTCACTGCATGATTCCCCCCTGGCTCTCCCTGTGTCTCCTTAACTCAGCCACTGACCATTGGAGGCCTCTTTTTCCTCTCAGGTCATTGCAAGGAGATCCTTGTCTCCACTGTGCTTCTCAATTTATTTCAGTGTTGGAAATTTGAGAGCAGATCTGAGGAGAAGAATTTTGAGGTAGTGATTGATGAGAATCTCATGGAAATGTGTACTGGGAATCCAGAAACCCCCCATGGCCTGGGCTGATCCCTCAGCATGGGCAGCAGGAAAGGGGGGAATTCTGCCCCTCTCTCCCCTCAGGTGAGAGCCCACCTGCAGAGCTGCCCCAGCACAGGGAGGAGCTGGAGCTGCTGCAGAGAGTCCAGAGGAGCCACGGAGCTGCTCCAGGGCTGGAGCCCCTCTGCTCTGGAGCCAGGCTGGGAGAGCTGGGGGTGCTCAGAGAGGGGAGAAGGCTCCAGGGAGAGCTCAGAGCCCCTGCCAGGGCCTGAAGGGACTCCAGGAGAGCTGGAGAGGGACTTTGGAGGGACAGGACAAGGGGGCAATGGATTCCCACTGCCAGAGGGCAGGGATGGATGGGATATTGGGAAAAAAAAGGTTGTGAGGGTGTTGAGGCCCTGGCACAGGTACCCAGAGCAGCTGTGGCTGCCCCTGCATCCCTGGCAGTGTCCAGGGCCAGGCTGGATGGGCCTTGGAGCAGCCTGGGACAGTGGAAGTGTCCCTGTCCATGGCAGGGATGAAATTACCTAAACCCAGCTTTCTCTCTGGCTTTAAATAGTTTCCATGGCGTCCCTTCCAAGGAGCTGTAAATGAGCAGGGCTTCATTAACTCTCCTTTTTGTCCAGGTTAACTGAGTCAGTTGGAAAAATGAGGAGTAGAAGCATACAGCACGGGCTGTATAATTTCTACAGCTGGCTAAGAGACCTCTTGCTGGGACTTTTGTTATTATTTTAGAGAATTGCTTTTAAAAATTTTTGCTTTCTTATTTTCCAGCAGAACAGTATCACACAAAGAACTGCCATTAATTTTTCAGTGAGCTTGGGTACTCCACGTCCTTTCCCACTGGTTTTGCATCCTACATCAAACCTGAAGCTCTTTTTTCCCCCTTATTTAATTCTGGTGCACAGTTCTATTAAAAGGATAAACCTCATTTTTTAATACCTCCTGGGTAACAAGTACCAAACAAATGCTTTAACTATGTATTATCTTGGCATGATGTAGCAGTGCTGTGGTTGTGGCCTCTATTTTTATTTGGCAGAGATGTGCAAATAACATGATAATCATGTATTCTAGTTCATAAAATAGGAGGAATTTTCTTTGCTTTTTAAAAAATGATTGTTCTTGGTCTTTGGTTGCACAGTGTGATGTGACTGTACTCTGCTGTGAGCTTGCAGGGAATAGAAAAGATGTTTAAAGAAAAATATAAACATTTTAAAACCAAAAAGTTTATGTGGCACACAAGCACATTTTTTTTCCCTGTGAAAAATTTTTGTAAAAGTTTAGCCTATACTACATTTGCACAGCTGAAATCAATTATCACCCTGTGTTCTGCATATCAGTATCTTTGGTAATGGAGCTATAAATTGCAGCTCTGAATCAGAGTTTTCCTCCCTTCAGAGGTTGAAAATAGCAGTTGAATATTTGCTTACAACCCCTCTGAGTATAACCCAAAACCTGAAGAGAGGGAACAGGCAGGAGGTTGAGCAGGACCCAACCCCACGCCATGAGATGTAATATTGGATGGTCTCTCAGACTGATGGAACAGGAGCAGTGCTGCAGTTCAGGGCATTCCCAGGAGGCTTCCTTAATTTTGGGCACCCTGGTCCATGATAAACCAGGCCTGGAGGAAGATCTTTGCAACCTGTTCTGTCCCCATGAATTGATCAAAAGCCTTGACACCTGACATGATCCATGGAATGGCAGAAGAGCCAGAGAGGAGAGGCTTTGGAGCCAGCTAGGAGGGGTTTAAATTAAAGCCCTGTGAAATGCAGCCTCTCTGTGCTTAAATCAGTGTTTTACACAAGATCATTCCTTTCCTTTGCTCTTAAAGGTAGAACTGATATAGCTGACAATGGTAAATAAAAAGAAATTTGGAGACATCAACTTTTTAAGTTGGTTTTCCTGCTCACTCTCCTGTTACAAGTGGGGACAGATGTTATTCTTGGGACATGGATTCATTGTGACCTTTGCATTAATCAAGGGAGCATTTTACTAAAATAGCATTGTAATTTCTGCATCTATTAAAAAAAATATAAAATAAAATTTTAAAAATAGAAACTTCTTAAAATTAACATTTAAATAAATAAATTTAATTCTACTGATTGAAATAATGTTTGGGACCTCCAGAAGACCTTTCTGATCTAAATTATTGCTTAAGAATGATTTTTGGGGTTGTTTATAATCCGAGCAGAAATGACAGGGGTGGGGATGAATGCCAAGGGCATGGACATGTTGCAGGTTGTTGTACAGCAGTGTCTGAGCCATTATCCAGTGGGATCTCATCAGTGGGATCTGGGATGCTCTCATTCATGTGTTCTCTGACCCTGCCATGAATTCATGGCTTGGGAAAGAAAAATTGGGTTCAGGTTAGAAAGGGAACATAAAAACCCCATCAAACTATGTGAGAAATATCCATTGACTGTTCCCAGCTTCCTCCCAGGGAATAAACAGGAATACAGCTTTGCTGTCTGTCTTCCTTTACTCCTCCTGTCCAGCAAGATCATCCCATGGGGAGCTGGATTTGCTACTTGTAGTAGCCTCTCCCTGGAGTTACCGTAAGAATTTTCACAAATCCTCTGCATCTGTCCAAATGATTTATATTTTAGTTTTTATGGAAGGAAGGGAGAAAGTTGTGCTGAAGGTAATAATTAGATCTGGATTTCCCATCTATGGTGGAGGAGCCAGTGTGGAAGCACCTCCTTTTGTCCCACCATGCCCAAGGTTTATTGGGTTTCCCAGCTCCTACATAGCTCCGACTGTCAGTGCCACGTCACTGGGCATCTGTCAGCAGAAACACACAGCTCCATCATCCAAATGGCCACTTAGAACTCCAGCTTCTAAATCCCTGTCATTACTGGTTAGGTTTGTTTGGAAGAAAAAAACCTGGGGAAGTTTTGTTTAACTCGACAAACCTGAAAAAAATATTTAATATGTAGATTGAGCGTGTTTGTTGTGGAGGCTCTTAGGAGAAAATGTAAACTGCAGTGCTTTCACAATTGTTTATTTTTTTTTGACTGGAGCCAGAAGTTAATAACCCAAATTTCTGCTGAGAGGTTCCTCTTCTGGAAGAGGGAAATGGGATTTGGGGGCTGATTCTGCAGCTCAGTGGCATCTTGCACACTTCCACACGTAGATGTATTTGTAAATGTGCGCAGCTCCAGGGCTGCAGGCAATGGGATTTTGCTGGCTTTGGATGAAATGGGGATCCGAGCTCCTTCCTTGCAGACAACATTTCTCTTGCCCATAGGCTGAGGCATCTGAGATCATGTTTTTCAGATCCAAGTTAGTTTTGGCTTGGTATCAAACCAAAAAAACCTCAAAAGCCAAACATAATATTGGGCTTGTTCTGCCGAGGAAGAAATTTATATAAGTAAGTGAAACAAGGCTGAAACTTCTTTGTGTGGGTACCAAGGCTGAAGCCCCTGATAAAGCTGTGCTCATTGAAGCTGAGTATCAGGTCAATGAATGATGCTTTGATTTTTCCCTTGCAGAGCTTATGTTGAAAAATACCTCCTGGAGAAGTCCCGACTGGTCTATCAGGAGCACAACGAGCGGTGGGTGCCTCTGTTTCGCCCAAGGCTTGGGTTTAACTCCTGTATGTGGCACAGATAACGTAAATCCCTGTGGAGCTGGCACAGGGGATAAGGATTTTCACACTCTTAACCCTGTGCTGCAGATTAATGATGCATTTTATATTTGAATGTTTTGTTTAGGGAGAAATGTGCTAATGGAGGGAATAAAGTCCCTTATTTTATCAAGGTTTGTCTTTGATTTACCAAGGAATCATAGAATGGGTTGTATTGGAAGGGACCCTTAAAGATCATCTTGTTCCAACCCTTGCCATGAGCAGAGGACCTTCCATATTGTTACGTTTAATTTAATTTTCGTTGTCTTTATGGCAGATAGATTATGGTGTGCTACTTCATTCTTGTGCAACTTTGCGAACTGCTTAATATGCCATTTTAGGAGAGAAACATGGTATTTTCATTCTTCTTTGCGGTTCACTGAAGCCTTCAGAGGGACCTCTAGAAAGAACCAAAATTATATAAGAATGAACTTACGTGAAGTGTTCTTTCCTAATTTGCTGCATGTTCTTTGTTGCATATTCCTCTCCTCTCTCAGTAATTATTATGCCACTTTTAAATAATTTTGCTGCCTTTAGTTGTCTTTCAACTCTTGGCACTTCTGGCTGTGTTTCCCTTTGGAGACAGATGTGTGAGTTTTCTGGAATGCTCCAGGGCTGTTCCTGGAGTTAAAGAGCATCTACAGCCTTGACAAACATCCTCTTGGGTGTTGCGAGATGATTAAACTTGGGTCCTCTTGGAAAACATCCAACATAAAAGCACAGTTTTAATTTTAGAAAGAAATTGTGTTAATCTCTGTTAGAGTCATCTGGAAGCAGAATAGATGAGTGTCCCTTGGGCTGGGTTTAGCATTAGTGGTATTCAGGTATTTTGAATATTTGAGTTTTTGAATACTTGAAGATTTTTCAGTCATGTTTCATGGAATTGCAACTGCAAAGTCATTGCCTTTTTAATAGCAATAAGGTATGAAAAATTATAATTTCTGCATTGCAAGGAAATACGTTGTGATTCTAAGAAAGGAGATCGGGCTCTAATAAAGGAGCTGGGGACGGTCGGGCTCTGCTCCCAGGGAACAAGGGACAGGACAAGGGGAAACAGCCTCAAGCTGTGCCAGGGGAGGCTCAGGCTGGACATCAGCAGGAATTTCTTCTAGGACAGCGTGGTCAGGCATTGGAAGGGGCCACCCAGGGATGTTTGGAGTCCCCATCCCTGGAGGTGTCCAAGGAATTCCTGGACGTGGCACGAAGTGCTCTGGCCTGGGAATGAGGTGGGGTTTGGGCACAGGTTGGACTCCATGGGCTGGGAGCTCTTTTCCCACCTAAGTAATTATGGGATTCTGTGAAATATGTAGGTCTTGCACATGGTTCTGAAGGAAAACCCAGCTAGATCATCCCAGCTAGAAATTATTCAAGTAGATTCTAGAGCAGTGTCTGTCCTTGGATGGAGAAGAGGGATCTCATTCTCCATTGCATAATTGAATCTGTTCCATCCCTGCACAGCAGGAACGGAGCAGCTCTAAATGGTGTCAGGCCTGAGCTTGGGAGCTGGAAAATCAGGTTGGGAGGTTTCCATGTGCCTCTGCTCAGTGCTGCTGCTCATTTTCGAGTCTAACAGCTTTTGTTTTTCATTTGTCACCAGGAACTACCATGTATTTTATTACCTCCTGGCAGGAGCGAGCGAGGAGGAGAGATCAGCATTTCACCTGAAGCAGCCAGAGGAATATCATTACCTTAACCAGGTGGGAGCACTATACAGGAATACAATCTATGGTCTTGCCTTTTCTTCTGCTGATACTTAATGCTAATAAAGAAGAGGTGTGGAGTAGTAAAAGTTGGTTTTTATAGTTTCTAGGAAGTCTTCCATCACTGAAATAATTCTGCATTAGCAATCTGAGCACCTGGTAGTGTTTCAGGGAAAAAATAATCAGTGTTTTCTGTGCCTGGGATATGTTAAATATATTGAGTTTTTGATTGCTGGAGGGAGAAACAGTCAGAATATCCTGCTCTGTGTGAATGTCATTTACTCATTAATATCTGTCTCCTGAGCAGGAGAAAAAGGGAAAATGTGGCATACTGGGATATAACATCTTGCATGAGGAAGTCCTAATTCTGTAGCTTCTGGCTGGCTTCTAGCACAACCCTTTGAATTTAACAATAGAACAACTCTAATATAACTAAACCACAGCAGCCATTGAAAACCTGGGAACTAATGATGGATGAAGTGTTACCAACAGCCTAACAAACTCAGTTTACATGATGATAATTTTATAATAAACTGATTTACTTTAGGTATTTAGGCAGTTATCCAGTGACTCTTGGAAGTAGGGACTTCAAAAAGACCAGCAAGAGGAGGAATAAATGGAAGAGGAGTTAAGTTACATGTTGATTTTAACCAATTGCAATTTTCTTGGTGCAGAAACATGAGGAGCAATAAAGAGTTATTTAACCCCAAACTGGAGAGAAACTTGGACCCACAGCCCAACCTAAACTGCCTTTAGTCTTTTTAGAAGTATAACTTCACTCAGGAATAGCTCTCAATTACCAGGGACTTTTAAAGCATGCTTTGAAAGCAGGCAATCAACACCAAAATCCATTGTATATTAACGACTCCCACACACCCATCACAGGATTGGGAAATATTCCCAAGCGAGGAGCACTCCGAGGGTTGGAGGCTCTTTGCTGGAGTCTCTGTGCCTCAGGCGTTGGCTGGAGAACGTGCTGTGATCTCCAGCACCATCTGTGCCACACTTTTGCAGTGGGAAGATGCCAACATGGAATGTTTTGTTGGATTCCCAAGTTCTGTTGGGCCATCCAGTTACTTTCTGTTAGTTGAAAACATTGCTTTTAATTACAGTCCTTTTCTTTTACATTGCAGTTTAAGAGCATTTATATTTAAAGGAAAATTAGAACTCTAATGGCACATAATGTGAGGAACCAGTAGCAATATTATAATTTAGGGTGAAATGTTTATTTTAATCTAAAATAAGGTACTGTGGGGCAAGCAAGCTGGAGAAGGCTGCTAAGATCAGTCCAGTCGATCAGGGAAGCAGATTCTGGACTTCCCTGAACACAGTGTATGGACAGTAGTGACACTCTGAGTTTTTGGCAGGTTTTTAAATAATTTTTTAATAGTTAGGATTAGAGTTAACACTGACAACTATGGAAAAGCAGCACTTTTAGGTGTGGTCTGGGCATGGTTTCACATGAAGACCATCTGATAGTGCAGTAGCAGCTTTTCCCTGCCCTGCAGGAGAAAGGAAAAGGAAAATAAAGAGAAAAGGGAGAAAAGAGATAGTGGAGAAATGGAAAAAGAAACTTTGGAAACATTTAAGAGAAAAATTATAAAATTACCCTTGAACATTTGCAGTCTCTTCTTAAGTGTGTCCTGGAGAAGACCCTGCCTTTTTAAAAGGAAAAAGAACCAGCTCAGACATGAACTGAAGTGTTTTACAGAAAATTAAATATTCATGTAGAGAAGCCATAAAATATTGAACCAGGCCCCTGAAGTGAAGGAGTGACTCAGTCCTGAGTCAGGCTTTACTTTCCTCCTACCAGGTTCTTCGGATCTTGTTGTGTTACACAGAATAAATTGGGAGTTTGTTTTGCAGATGGGACATAATCTATTCAGATACTTCACCAAAATCTGCTCTGTAAATACAGGAACCAGATTGAAAATAAAGATTTCAATTTATTTTTAAATGCAAATTTACTGAAAGTTATCCCCTGAGTACCGGGGACTTTTCCATCTCTTCCCCAGTGGCAAGGTGCACCCACCCCTGTGTACCCTGCAGCTCACTGAATATTTTCTGTGCTGGTTGTTAACTTTTATCCATTTTGAAATCAGTCATTTGCAGGTTTAGATCCTTATTTTCAGCTCCTCAGGATCTGTCTCTCCCTCTTGGGGCTGGTCACTGGCACATGCTTTGACTTCCCTCTACTCCATCTCTGTCTGATTGGAAAAAGACACAAATTCCTAAAAAGCTTTGGAGTATTGCTTGGAAGAATCTCACTTTTGCTTCACTTGTATTTGTCTGGAGCAGAGGTTGAGAGTAGATACAAACCAAATCAGTTCTTCAGTGGGATTTTGGCATCAGTGGCTCTTCAACTCCAGGTAAACCAAGGGTTTCCCCAACTCTGTAAGAGAAGGAAAGGTTTTAGTATCAATTAGAATTATCGATGAGAGGGCCTCACTGATGCACTGTAAGCAGGAACCAGCACCAGGAATGCAAAAACATCATAAATCTTCCCTTAAAACAAATAAAAACTAGGGAGTGACTCTGCAGAACAGCAACAACTATTTTCCCAGTTAGGGAGCAGGTGGTCGGGGTGATTTGGGGTGGGAACACCACTTAACCCGCTCTGCCTTGCTTTCAGATGACAAAGAAACCCCTCAGACAGAGCTGGGATGATTATTGCTATGACTCGGAGCCGGTCAGTACAAGAACCCGCCTCTTCCGTGGTGTTGCTGGTGCAGGGCTGCTCTCATTTGAGTGTTTTAGGGAATGAAAAGAAGGCCAAATCCAATGAAGTTTAACCCATTAACCACCCTTGGTCCTGCAGTGGTGTTGTTTGTGACAGTACAGCCCTTTTATGGTTCCTTCCATCTGGAAAGCTTCTTCAGCAGTTGGAGATGGTCAGCTCCTTACAGTCATCTCAGTTTTAGAAAACTAAGGGGGTTTTCATTCCTTCCTGATAGAATACGTGATGATTTATGGAAATTGGGATGTGGCAGCAATGTGAAAATTGAAATTCCATCCCAATAAAACAGCAAATCAGTGTCTTGAAGCCCCAAGAGATGCTTCGGTACGTGCTGGTTGTAGTGGTGTATCTGCTCTCCAGCTTCCAGGAAAAAACAGGCAAACCCAAAAACATCCCCCAGCCATCTGTGACAAAATCAAATCCTGATATTGTTCAGAGTGCAGAAACAATAATTCTCCTAAAATACTTCTGCTGACATAATCATCCTTTCCAAATGGATCGCCCCAAAAAAGGGAATGGTGAAGCTTCTCCCCCTTCCCCACCGACATGCTCTGGGTGTCTGTGTGTCCCGTGCTGCTCCCCATGGGTGTGTCCTGCATGTGGAAGCATGTTTGGCATCAGCTGCTTGTCCTTCCTGCTGCCTTTCCCATGTGCTTGATGACTGCATAAGTCTTGCTGGTGCATCTCAAAGAGTAAGAGGTGGTCTGGGAAGGAGCTGGGATTCACTGGGGCTAAACAAGTGTCTTAACAGCAACATTTCCCTGCAAATCCTTAGCAGGGGAGGAGGGAATTTCCCTTACAAGGTTAAAAATATTGAATTAAGGTTGGCATCCTTAATCCACCAGCATTCTTAGGGGTCCTTCAGGAGCAGGGAGTGATGAGCAGATGCTGTTCTAGACCTTAATACCCTTTATAAATTGGAAAGCCCTTAATTGCTTTAGGAATGGGTTGGGACAATTTGCTGAAGGAATTAAAATTAAAACAACCCTGAAATTTGTTACTTCTCCTGGCATGACCAAGAACACCCTGCCAGCCTGGGGGCTGCCACGTCTGTGTCCTTATCCTGCGCAACAAAACCACGTCATTACCATTTGGCTGTTGATTTGCTAATTTGTTCAGGACAATTTTATTTGGGATCATTTTCTGTCACAGTCCTGGTAAATCAACTGGCTTCAGTTGATGATTCACTCTTAAGCCTACACTGGGCTTCTCCCCATACCCATGGACACAACCTGCTGCAGACCCCAAGTTTATAAAGAAACTCTGTTTTATCCTCTTCAAATTTTTCATGGAAATCCATGGATCGCTTCAATGTGACTGTAGGAAGCAGGGGGACTCACTTTTGCTGGGAAACTAATTGCTCTGGCAGGATATTAACGGCAAGTTAGGTCTGTGGGGATGGACTTTGTGCCGCTTGTCTGCTCCAATATCAAGGACACTCCTCTATTTTATAATTATCCTTCATTTATCATCCATTAGGAAGCGGTCCTGTGCTGGAACACTGCAGAGAGCATCCGCTTTTAAGTAGAGAATTTGTCTTTCCATGCGGATTAATGAGTCGGGCAATTGTTATGTAAATCGTTAATTAAATTGCCTTCGGCATAGATTGTGCTACTTCGGAGTTGTCCGGGGTATTTTGCTGTTGACTCGTGACTTAATTTTGGAGGAATGATGCCAGAAAATGAAAATGTCTCCTGGAATGTGGAGTGCCACTAAAAGCACTTGGTGTATTTAAAAAAAGCTTTAAACCAGCCTAATTTCAGGATTTGTGGGGGTGGTGTTGTCCTGCCAAGTCCAGGTCCTGCCAGAACAAGGGTGGGAAGTTGTGCTGAGTTCTCAGTGGAAGGGCAGTGATGAGGAAGCCAGGGTTGGAGCTCAGGAGAGTCAAGGTCTTATCCTGAGGTTTTATGGTGGGAGCAATCAGTGCCTGTGGTGTCCCTGCTCTTGGTGATGTCATTGTTGTGTTCCTTTGGAGAGCTCTGGAGCAGGGTCGTTTCAGATCACTTCCTAATGGAAGGTGGAAATGCACTTTTCTAATGACTATTTCCTAAAATAGTCTGGTCTTTTCTTCTGGAATTTCAATCCCTGCCTTCATCGATGCTATGCATGGTTTTAAATGGTTTTACTGTTCAACAGCTCCAAAATCACTTTGCCCATGGAGCATTAACTTATCTCTGAGGACAATTGATAAAAAAATTTTGATTTTGTTGTCCAACTGCACTTCTCTGGCTTTTAGTGCAGTTGTGTGGGAGTCTCCTATGTTGCAATAAATATTTAAAATATGTAAACAATATAATAAATAATAATATCAGCATTTAAATATATAAATAATACAAATAAATCTATATCTTAAGTAAAGGTTTTCCACTCTAATTATAACTATGGCTGTAATGATGCTCTGGAGTGGGATGAAGAACTTTGTTGATACAGTTGTGAGACTTTAAATGCTGTAAAACACAAAGCTGATATTATAAAATAACTTAATTCTGTATATTCTGTATTTATAATTCATTTTCTGTACTCTCAGTGAGTACAAGTAATGCAGATTCCTAATTATTTTTGCAAAATTTTTTGCACATTTGCTTGTGTGATAAATAAGATGTTCAGGAGATGACCAAAATAATCTATGTGCATTCATCTGCTTAATTAATTCCAACTGCAGCTACAATTTTTATTTGTATTATTCTAATAAACTTTTTATAAAATTTTATAGAATTTTTATTTGTATTTACTTACACTTGGATTAACTTGTTAAAAGTCTCTAATTACTTGTAAAAAGTCTTGATTTAAGCGTTAGCAAAATACTCTAAGGTTTAAAAAAGCACAATACTGTGTGCTACAATTCATCTTGATGCATAGATGGGTAGTTTTTATAGGCAGCAATGGGTAGAATATTAAATATAGGCTGGAAAGGCAGAGAGAAGAATAAATGATCCATGGGAGGCCTACAGTGAGCCAAAGTGGAAGAAATTTGGCATTAATGGTCTATATATTCATTTAAAGAGCATTTCTGTTCCTTAAATATTGGTACAGGACAGCTTTGGGTGGGTCTGGAATGTCACTGGATTTTTCTGAACATGTCAGTGACTGATATCAAGGGAAAAACTCAACTGTTCAGGCATGTGAGCATCCAAAAGTATAAAATATCCTGGATTTCAGATTCTCCCAGTTTTGAAATAACTTCTTGGTAGTTCAAATAAAGTTACTGAAAAATATATTTAAAGCTTTGCCTTTCCCACACAAGAAAGGCAAAGCTTTAAATGAAAATCATCCACTGATACCTCTAAACACAAAATGATCCACTGATCATTTACATGAAGTTATCTGAATTCTATTTAAAAACTGATTTTCCCTCTTTAGTTATAGGACTGAATGTGGAGTAAACTGCCTGTAAATGTGGAACAGATTTCATCTTGTTATTTCCCACCCTTTTTGTGTATGGGGTGTCCCACACTGACCAACTCTCCCCGTACTGTTGGAATGGGGTGACTCTCCTCTTTCCTTAGAGGCCAAACCTGGGAACCAAGGTTGTATCTCCAGAAAATATTAGCCAAAAATGTTGTATTTCCAGTGCCAGGTTGGAAATGTTGCTGATAAAAGACCTGGAGATCACTCAGTGATATTTACAGAGCACTGACTTGGCTGTCTGGACCTGATCTGGTGTTAATTTGTGTCAGTGCTTCCTCTGTGTGTTTAATCCAACAGGATTGTTTCTCCGTGGAAGGGGAGGACCTGAAACACGACTTTGAGCGGCTACAGCTCGCCATGGAGATGGTGGGGTTTCTGCCCAAGACACGCAGACAGTGAGTTTATTTTCCATTTTAATGCCTTGGAGATGATCCTGGTTAACATCATCTCCACTGGCAGGACATTGTCCAGAGAAACTGTGGCTGCCTCATCCCTGAAGGTGTCCCTGGCTGTGGCAGGATGGAGCCAGATGAGTTTAAGGTCCCTTCCAACACAAACCATTCTGTGATTCCTTGCTCACTGCTCTATTTAACGATTCTCTTCATGCAAATGGAGCGTTGGCAGAAGCTGACATCTTGAAGTATTTCTTAAGTGTTCATGAATAATTACGTCTCACTCTGCATGTCATGAATCCAGAGCCTGGTTTAATCAGAAGTTCTCATTATCCCTCATCAAACTTAACCCTTTGCATGCAATTCTAGGTCTGTAGAATCATTTCCCACTGACCTTTTTCGCTAATTCACTGGACATGCTGGTTTGAAAACTGGACTTCAGCTGGGTTACAGCACCTCTGATACTATGGAATTAGAGGGTTCATAGGGGTCATCTCCAACCAAAACCACAAAATAATCCCTCCTGTGTTGATTTTTGGTTTGAAAGGCTTGAGTAGGCTGGGAAGAACTTGGCATAAAAAATTACCTCAAAGATACTTTCATACAACTGAGACTTTTCAGAAGCTCGTCCTTTATCCCTCACTTGTAACAAATCAATTATGAAATCAAAACTGCTTTTTCTCTGTCTTCCCCACACACATTGATAAAGCCAAGGACCCAGAGTTGTGTGAATATGTTCTGTGTCAGAGGCTGCTTTATCAGGTTTCAGGACGAGGTTTGTCTAAAGCCTGTTGAGTGGTTTAATTGCCTGAGCAAAGCAATCAGGAAGTGTCAGGACTGAGCAGAGTCGGGTGATGCAGTAAATTCTCACTTCTGATTTGCTGTGCAATGATTTTTCTTGGCACACAAGTTGCTCCTGGTGAATTTTGCGTGTCAAAAATAAAGTGGATTCTTCACAAGCAGATTTATTTTGCTTGGTGTTACACAACTGCAGCACAAATAAGGAACCACCTTCAGCTGAGATATAGGAAAGATGTTTTAAGTACTACTATACTTTAAAAAGTAATTTCCTTATAGCAGAACATTGGGGTTTCACCTTTGTGGAAACAGAAATTTTTATAAAATTCGCAACAGGGGAGTCAGTATCCCTGGTTTGGACATAAGGGAGGACTTGGAGAGGTGAAGCTGTGTTGTCCAGACAGGCTGTTGGCATAGCTAGGAATCACATTTGGGTTTATTCATTTTTAGCTCCCAAGAGAGTGTAGAAATAGAGACAAACAGGGTTTATAGCTGAAGTCAGCCATGGCTCAGGAGTTGGGCTTGATGAACCTTGTGGATCCCTTCCAACCCAGGATATTCTTTGAGTGTCTGATCCTGCGGTTTTCTGGAGGGGGAGATAACTTCCAAATGACCAAATTCCCTCTAAAACAGAAAAATTGGTTGGATAAATTTACTTGAAGTGTAATAGTTTTTCTTTGTCTCAGTTGCTTAGATATTATAAAAGCATTTATGCTGTTTTAGACAGTCTTTTGTTCCTGGCTGGGACTAGATACAAGAAGGTGACAAAAACACGTGTCCCAGAGGACTGAGAGATATCACCTGCATGGCTACGCCCAGTCTACCCCTTAATTTATGCAATTGTATGATAAATATTTAATCTGGATATCAAGATTACTGAAGGATTTCTATTTTTCTTACATGGGCTGTAATTTTGTAACTGTGTGTTTGATGTGTTAAAGAATTTTCAAGGAAACTGTATGAATGCAAGTTTGGTGCTTGACTAAGTAAAAATCTTTTGACATGAGCCAAAGTGGATGCTTTGGATTGAAAATTAGAAGAATGAGCCACAGAGGGATGTGGCCCTTGGGGGTGAAATTTGCTTCTTTGTTCACTTTATGAAAAACCCAAGTGAAAATTAATTCTGTCTGTTTAGGATTTTCTCTCTGCTGTCGGCAATCCTGCACCTGGGGAACATCCGGTACAAGAAGAAGACGTACCGGGATGACTCCATCGATATCTGCAACCCTGAAATACTTCCTGTTGTGTCAGAGCTGCTGGAGGTAAGGCTCTGCTTTCCCTCCTGAAACTGTCACACCAAACAAGCCACCTCTGATTTAGGACCCAAAACATGTGCAGTTTATTTCCAGTTTTATTAAAAATTAAGTTCTTGTGTGTTTCCATGCCGATGGGCTGTTCATGTTTGTCAGGGAAAAGGTACAGGAACTTTTTTAAAGAGGATTTTCATGTAGGGTTTTTGCCCCTGCTTTTCACCTTCAGGTTTCATTGGCTGAAAATCCTGTTTCTGTGATCAAATGTGAAAGGTTGCAGGGTGCAGATGTGAAGCAAACCTGCTGTCCAGCACGGCATGTCTTCAATTGCCAGCCATCAGCTGGTGCTCCTCAAATGTGTTCCAAAGTCTGTCTGAGGAACTCGAGCTGTGGTACAACCACAGCCCCGTGTTTTGGTTCTCTGCTGGCTGTAGGAGGTGCTGGGCTCCCTCACTGTGTTTTTTGTCTGTTATTACCTGCCAAATTCCACAAGGGTTGGGTTTGGGATGCTGGAGATCCATCTCATCCCTCTAGTCCCTATTTAAGGGCCTGTTATGGAGTTCTTTGGTGCATCTCTTGTTTTTTTGCTGTTCAGGACCTGGTACCTTGGCCTTTGTGAGCCACTGCTGTGCTGGCATCCCTTGGGAAGGGTTTGTAGGTCTGGCTTAGGCCATGTCCAGCTCTGCAAATCAGTGCAAAAGCATTAAATAAGTTCTTGGGAGATCTGCTCTGTCAGCCCAAGCAGGTTATGGAGCTGTGTTACTTCTTTTCATGAGAAAAGTCTTGAATGAGCCAACTTGTCCTGCTGGCCTTCAGCCTTCAAGAGCTGAGCTCAAAAACCTCCTGACATGAATTGAGGTTGTCAGAAGCTCCCCTTGCTGTCTCACTTCACTTGAAATGCCCTAAACCTCTTGCAACTGAAATGTTTTTATTGTAGTTGATTATAGCAACAATTATCTTTACCCTTTTGTACATGATGGGTGGTCTGGAAGGTGAATTTGTGCTGATTTTATGGTAGAATCAGAAGGCAGCTTGTTCTTTGGTGTACACGTGGTGCTCTTCCCATTTATTCCATTAAATAACTGTTGTGTTATCTCCCTGCCTACAGAACTTGGGAACTGGCTCTCAGGGATTTTCATGGCACTTCATTAATGCTTTGAAATTAGGGAGGGGAAAGCTTCTGTAAAATATGGTCTGAGCAGCTGGATGCTCTTTGCATCTTGGCCTTGGAGATTGCAGAAATAAACAGGAAGAAAATATAAGTGGGGAGGAGAATGTTGTGGATTTACTCTGTCAAGTGTGGCCAAGTCAGTTAAGTAATTGTTTTTAAAAAAAGTTTTGAGTAAGAGAGCGACTTAGATATCTGAAAAAGTTCCAGGCTTTGGGTCTTTGCCTTTGCAAACAAACCCTTTTGCAACATCTGCACGTGGGGAGGTCGTGGGGTGGTTTTTACACATAATTCTGTGAAATGAGACATTGGCTGAGCCATGTCAATCCAACAGTGCCTTAATGCCATGGGCTGGAACAGCACCTGCAGGCAGTGTGAACAAGATGTAAAAGTAAATATTTGTTTTTCACCATTTAGGAAAAAAACAAACAAACCAAACCACTGGGATCTGATGTAGCTGAGCAAATTGATAGATTGCTGTTCATCTTGGTAATTCTTTTTGCAAATTAAATGACCATCTAGAACATAAAATACTTGTTAATTAGATCAGGACAATGCTTGCTGCATTGAAGTGGGATCTGATGAAATGCACCACTGGCTTTGGGTGAGTGGTGTTGTTTGTCCCTGGAACTGGGAACTGGAACTGGAAGGATTTGCTGCCTCCAAGTATAAACCTTTTAATAGACCCACTGAAATAAAGCAAATAATCTCATTTTTAGACTTGATTTTTTGGCATTTATGAAATGCCATGTTTCTCTTTGCAGACCTCAACAGATGTTGCTGCTTATTCAGGTTTGACCCAAAGGAAGAACCAAAGGGTTCAAACAGATGAAACAGATGATTACAAAGAGCAGCCACCACTCTTTAGGGCTACTTACAACTCTCCACATTAAGTTCAATGAGTTCTCCTCAGCCAGAGACCCAAAATACTGGTTAAAACATTTGACACTTTGTATTTTATCTCATTTGGGTAATTATTTTTATTACATTCTCCTTTTTTGTGGTCACTGAACAGTTTTGCTTTTCCTATTGTTGCTAAAATTACAAATTGGCTTGAAAAGTTGTTAATCCCCTCTCCAGATCTTGGCATTAGACACTAATAACTGAGAAATCATCTAAGAATAAAAGTAAATATAAGTTGACAGAGTTGAGCTTCCTTTCCTATGGTCACTGGCTGTGTGGTGGGACCGTCCAGAGCACAGCAAAAGGATGGAAGAAACTGTGATCTGATACTTCCTTATCTTGGAGGAACTTTTGGGTTGATTTTTATACTCAAATGACTCACTGGATTTGTTCAGTCAAGGTTTGACATGGAAAAGAGAAGGAAAAAATCTGACCAGAGCTGTGTGGGCCATCTCTGAGAGCAGCCAAGAGAGGATGCAGAGGTGCTCCAGCCTGGCTCAATGGGGATGTAGCCTCCAAGGGCAGGAGGGGAGCCACCAGCCTGAGTGAAATCAGGAACAGGCAAGATTGCTGTCTTCTCCCACTGTGAAGGGCAATCTGGCCCAAATTCTCATGAGCTGGTTGGTTTATTGTTGGAACCTCTAATGATAACTGGGGGAATTTCCCTGCTGCACCAGTTAATGCAGCACCTCTGCACAACTGTTCTCCCTCTGTGTAATGAGATTTGTGTCCCTATAAAAAGAAGCTAATACAGAGATTTTCTGAAGGAATCTGGGAGGAGATGATGATCTACAATGGATTTGCTTTTTCTTAGATATCAACAACCCCACCCAATCTGTTTTTGCTTTATTAAACCATCCAGAACAGCATTTGTTGAAACTCCAATATAGGATTTTGGCCAGACTCTGCAGATCATTGTTTCATTTACAGTAAAACTCCAATTCCATTTTTTATTTTTTTTTCAGGAATAGACATAGCATGTGGATTATGTGATGCTTTTGGCAGGTTTTTCAGGGCCTTTGTTTAAACTCTGCTGAAATACTGTGCTAAGGAGTGATGTCAAGGCTGCCTGATGGATCAAGCAGACGTGGAGTCCTGTGCAAGCACTGAAAATATCCCAGGGCCTGGGCAGAAGTCATAGAGGGTTGTGTGAAACTGGGTAAACCTTTGTGTTTCTGGGGGGAAAGCTTGGAAAAGTTCATTTGTGGGCTTATTAACAAAAATAATATATTAGAAATTATCTAGTTGACCTTAAAAGAGACTTTTTGTTTTCTGTTGGAAGAGTAGGAACATTTTAATTGTGTGTGTTTACTAAAATGGGAAATCTTTTCCATGGATGGAGCATTGAAGAAGGAGATAAATGCTGTCTTTGCTCAGTGGAGCAGTTTTGTATTCAGTTTTTAGGTTTAGGTAACCAGTGCAATACCTAACCTCAGTGCAAATAAAGGTAAATACAAGTTATCAAGTGCCCTAAATTAGTTTTGCCAGATCTCCCAGTGCACATTTGTGTTTGGAGCTAAAGTTGGCCTCTCCAGGAGATTTATGTGCACAAGTTCTTCTTCCACTAAAAAATGGCCTTCAGCTTCCCAGAGGGATCCCACAGGCACTGGGGCTCCTCCTGTGATAAATGTCTTGGAAATTAATTGGGGAGGGGGTGAGGATTATGAAGCAGACAGTGCTTGCTTGCTTCCAGCTTTTTCTTCTGGATTTGTTTTCCAGATGATGTTTTGTAGAATCACAGAATGATTTGGGTTGGAAGTGACCTCCAAAGTTCATCTAGTCCAACATCCCTGCAATGACTAGGGATATCATCATTGGATGCAAAATTTTGAGCCAGAATTAGGGACAGAAAACTTCAGAGAATCACAGAATGTGCTGATTTGGAAGGGATCCACAAATACCATTGAGTGTAACTCCAGGATCTGTGGAGACACAGGCCCTACACAGACACCCCAGCAATCCCACCCTGTGCCTGAGAGCATTGTCCAAACACTCCCTGAGCTCTGGCAGCCTTGGGACCGTGACCATTCCCTGGGGAGCCTGGGCAGTGCCAGCCCCCTCTGAGGGAAGAACTTCTTCCCAATATCCAACCCAAACCTCCCTAACACAGCTCCAGCTGTTCCCTCAGCTCCAGCTGTTCCCTCACATCCTTTTTAACTCTCTGGTTATTTGAAAGAAAGTCTGAGGAAAAGGTTCAGCTCTTTTCCAAGAAGAGCTGATAGAAATCTGAATTTATTTTCAGCTACTCCACACGAGGCATCTTTAGAGTGAGCACTCAGCACTGTAATCCCTTTCTCAGATATGGAAGGAGAGACAAAACCTGATGTTTTCTTGCTCTCCAGCTGGAAATGGTTCATTTTTCTTCAGCTGCTCTAACATAATACCCCAGAATTACTGGAGAAGCAGTCTGTGCCTGCCTTGGCTCCAGCCCAGCCCTTGCTGGCTCCCTGCTCCCGCTGTGCTCCGCTGACGTTCCCAGCTGTGGTGCTGCTGCTCACCCCTCACTGGCTCATGGAGCTTGAGGTCTCCAGCCCTCTCTGGACCCACTTGTGGCAACAAAGTCTTAAATCTGCATTTTGTCCCTGTAACTAAGATCTAAACTCCTACAGGAGTTGCCGTGTGTAAGAGGGAGAGGAGGCCATGCCCTTTAGCACCAGGAAGCAAAAATCCATGAAATGTGACCCAAGAGTGAAACTCCTAAGGCACAAAGTAAAGGAGTGAGTGGTGTTCTCCGCTGCTCTGCACCAATGGGTGTCCCTATTTTAGTGTTTCATGGAGGAGGAAGTGTAGGATGTGGGGAAGCTGCAAGTATCTCCATGTCCTTAGTCATCGGCACATGCTGAGTTTATCTTTAGAAAGCTCCAGTGGCTCCTCCCTGGCATCAGGAGTCAGCTACTTTCACACTGTGACCTTGAGTGCAGATCAGGATGATTTGGTTGCACCCGTGGTGTTCATCAGAGGCGATGAAGGAATCGAGATCAAGCTCCACTGGGTGGCAATTGCAGGCAGGGGCCTGGGGAGATGCAGGGATTCCTGTCCTTGCCAAGAGTGTTTTTGTACAAGGAGATGCTTCAGTGGGATCTCCCCAGGTCAGGAGGTGAAGGATGCACATCCACAGGTTCCCTCCATCCAGAGAGCAGGGGGAGAAAGAACCAGAGTGACCGTGAGATGGGGATGTGAGGGATGGTGTGGGTAGTTGTTTAAATTGCTTAAAATCCCTGTGTTTGCTGACAAATCTGGGACTTGGAAGTGTTTATGTTGTTGGGGAATATTTCTTTGGACTGTTTTGATTAGGAACCATCTGACACCCCTCTGCCTTATTGCCTTGGATAATTAAAAAAAGCCAGCATGCTGGCTGCGGGTTTGCAGCATCCCTGAAGTGGGATAATGGATGGTGTGAAACTCACTTTTGTTCCAAACTGTGCAGTTGAGGGAGAGCAGCCGATGGTCCCGCAGTCGAGAGCTGCTGGAATAGTGTCTGCAGAGCTGGAAATTACAAAATCACATCATCTGGTGAATGCAGAGGAATAGAAACCAAATGTGAAGTCTTGCTGTGGATCTCTGGATGAACCAGGAGATTCTTTTTTTCCCTGCTTGATTTTGAAAGGTAAAATCAGATTGTAGGAACTGGGGGCTCCTGAGTAGTGCTTATCACTAAAGAAATGAACCTTGAAGTGTCATTTCCAGTGACAGAGACCTTGCTGGCAGGTGACATCATATACAGGTGACTTGATGTATTCTGACTTCCACAGCCACAAGTTCTTGTTGCAGGAAGAATCGGTTATATAAAAACTCCCTGGATTTTATCAGGGAGACTCCCATGTAGCAGTTTTGGCAGAAGTTGATTTTTGTACAGAAGGGCATCATTATTGCTATGGTTTCTGAGATTCCTGACTTTCCACTGCCTTGTTTGCACTTCCTCTTCATTCCTGAATTGAACCCTGAAGTCAAAATATGTACATAGAATTGTTTTGGCTGGAAAAGACCTCTAAGATCGTTGAGTCCAATTGTTAGACCTCTACATTTCCCATTTTCCATGTCAAATCATAAATGCTTTCCCTGTGATAAAAATATGGCTTTGGGTGGCCTCAGGAAAGTGGATTTTGAACAATCAGAGATGTCCAGAGGAGGTCTGGTGCCTGCATGGAGTCCTTCAGGCAGGATAAGCAGTTTGTAGAGACTTCAGTGCAGCTGCTCTGTGTCAATCCACATCCATTATTTCTGAGCTCCAAGGTTTTCACCCAGATTCACAATGTCATTTTTGACTTGGAAATTTAGTGAAGATTAGTCAACAATTCAAAGTCTTTAGATGTAAGTGATGTATTCTGTATTCTTCTGAATTCCTCAAAGTAGGAGGGTCTTGAAGCTGATTGGGAAAGTGGCTTTTCCCCAGCAGCCACAGGTATCACTTAATTTGTCGGCACCGTTTCCCTCTTTGCTGAGGTGTCTGTGTTTACACAAATGAGTTCTGTTCTGCAAACCTGTGAGGGCTGATTAGAGACTGTCACCTTGCCAGGAGCTGGGGCTTCAGGGAGTAAACATCCAGTGCCAATAGCAGAGTAAATATCAGGTGCTTTTCCAAGGGTTTCTTCCTCCTTCTGACTCCTCCCCACCCTTAAAAGCGCAAAAAAAAACCTCCTTCACTTGGATATCTCTGAAACTGATGACACTGCTTGGCTTATTCTAGAGTAATTTGTATGATTTCATCTTGACAGCACTAGAAAGTTGACTTACTTTGCCAAGAGAAAGTGTGTGAGGGAGGAGCCACACCAGAAATAAGGAAAGCAGTGGGAAATTGTTACAACCAGGATGCCTGAATGCAGAAAATCAGGTTCCTTTGAATACCCTGGTGTTAGGTTTCTGATGCTGGATTTATGTGCTGAGTTGGCTCCTCCCAATGGCATGTTTTTACCCATTGAATTTAACTCTGCAAGGTCTGGCGAAGTGGTTTAATTTTTTATATTTTTTTTTTAATTAAACTTTGAAATTTGAATGTGTTTGCACTGGATTTTAATTTTTTTTAAAGTTTAAATGTTAGCATTTTTAAAACTGGATTTAAAATAAAATAAAAAAATCACTAGAATAATCATTAACATGTGTACTTTTGTTTTAGGTGAAAGAAGAGATGCTGTTTGAGGCCCTGGTAACCAGGAAGACAGTGACAGTGGGAGAGAAGCTGATCTTGCCATACAAATTGGCAGAGGTCAGTACATGATGTTTGTCATTAAAAGGCAGCTCTTGGAATGGTTTTCAATACTTTAAGATGCACACTCAGAGTTTCTTTCACTTTTTATTTATTTATGTCAAAATAATGGAGGAGAAGCTAATGGGTGTCCTAATCTAGGAAATTATTGACTTTTCTTCTATTCCATTCCTGGAAGGCAGGTTTGTACTTTATTCTGATGGTTTGTAAGTGCTTTAATGACTTGTGGTTGTGTGAAAGTTGTCCAGAGCAGAGCTGGGCATTGTGTGTGTGGGTGCAGGTTCATCTCCAGATGTCATTCCTTAAGCTGGAGCCCTGATGCCACAGCAGAGTGCTGACCCATGACTCCAGGAGATTTTTACTGCCTTCTTGAGTGCCTGTGTCAGTGCTGGTTCTTGTATGGCAGGAGCTGCAGATCTCCATAGGAGATTCCCAATAGCTTTTCCTCAGACCCCTCACAACCTGGGACCTTGTGTGATGCTTTGGAGAAGCCACAGCTCCATCAGTTTCTCTCAGACCCTGGTGTAGTTATATGGGATCTAAATGGGATATTCAGGGATTCTGAATTCTATTCTGTGGCTGGTAAAGAGAAACAAATTTTTTCCTCTTACATTCTTCAAAATACATAAGTTCTGTTCTTGTTTTGGCTATTTCTGCCTCTAATATTCTTGTATCCCTCAGATTAGGAACACTGAGCATCGCACCACACTTGGTCCCTCCATTCCCTCTTGTTGTAGGGTTGGGTGAGAATTCACAGCACCTTGAACAGCATCTGAGAGCAGCCTGTTGTGTCACAAATAAGTAAACATATTGTGTTGTCACTGGGGTCAGCTGGAGATATTTTCACTCCTCTTCCAAGGGGGTAAAAAAGTATCTTTTCTCCCATTTTGAGGGTGTGTTTAAGCTCAGTAACCATTACTGAGCTTTAATATTTAGAAGTGAAGCGTTGCCTTTGTGCAAAGGTGAAATGTGCCTTGACAAAGGGCACACGAGGGCTCTCAAAAAATCTCACAAGGGTTTTTGTGATGGACAATTAATCAATGTGGTGTTCCACTTTTCTCCTCTTTCTCCTCTCTCCACTTCCTACTTTTCTCCTTCATCTTGGGAGCAGACATTAAAAGAATGGCTAGAAAAGTTTAAAACTGAGCTATAACTACCCTTTTGCTGGAGGGTTCTTAGAATGATGGTATCATAGAGTGGGCTGGGTTGGTAAGGACCTAAAGCTCCTGCTGTGGGCAGGGACACCTGCCACTGGACCATGTTACTCCAAGCTCTATCCAATCTGGCCTGGAGCACTTCCAGCTGTTGGAGCAGGTTCACTGCTCACAGAGCAGAATTTGAGATGCTTCAACTTGAACCTCCCCATGGTAAGAGGCCTTCTCCTGATCTTTCTCTGGCTCAGGGAGTGGGAGGAGTGACTTAAATTCAGACCTGACTGAACCAAGAAGAAAGAGTGGAATTCATTTGACATTTTGGGACTTCACAATGACTACTGATGGCTGATAATCCCCACTCATGACTCACTGGACTCTTGGGAGTCAGCAGGCTGGTTATTCCTGTGTATTTAACAAAGGAGCATTATAGTTGGCCCCAACGGATGGAGCCATTGAGGGTTTGAGGATTTGCAGACATGGGTCTCCCACCATGACCTCTGTAGCTCATGGGCAGCTGCCTTTCCTGATGGACACAGCAATTCTTTTATTCTTCAGATGCCTGTGGGTTTTTTCATAGCTTGGTACACTGAAAGTTTCAGTGGAGTTTGTCTGGAGCAGACTGTTCCACAGGCTCTCAAAAAAAGGATTGCATAATGTAATTTTGGCATGTCCTTGCTTCTTTACTCCATCAAGAAGAGCAGGTTGGATCTACCAGTCTTCAGGCTGCAAGAGAGGTGATAGATGCTACATCCCTGGAAACGTCCAAGGCCAGGTGGGATGGGGCTTGCCCATGGTAGGAGGTAGGGGATGGATGGAGATGAGCTTTAAGGTCCCTTCCAGCACAAACTGTCTGGGATTCCATGTAAAAAGCTTAAGATTTAAGTTTGGGATAGGTTTTGAGCTTTGATGAGGTTCCCACGTGCGTTCGCTCCATTCTGGAGTGTTTCACTTTCTGTGCTTGGCACAGGGGCTGACATTTCCTGCTCCCTTTCATCAGTGTTGGAGTATGTGGAGATGACAACTCGGTGCAGAAATGCTTTTCATGAGAAGTGAGTGTGATCATTCCATGATCCCAGCCTGGCTCCTGAGAGATCTGTGCCCTCAAGGGCACTGTGATAACTGTCAACCTTCTTAATAGCCTTGAATGGGCAGAGTTGGCCTGAAGGGATCCTTCCCTTTGGTATTTTGGAGGCTTTAGAGCTGAGGCTGGAGTTTTGTTTTCCAAGCCTTTTCTCTTCCCCTTTCCCGGGCTGCAGCCCCGGAGCGCGTGGAGAGACTGCCTTTGTTGGATTTGCAGTGATGTCACATTCCTGGCTGGCTGCATGCTCCTGCCTTCTTCTTGTGTGCTGATTGGAAACACAGTCCTCTGATCTGGGGCTTTTTTTTAAAAACAGTGGTTTGAACGCTTGGCAGCTCACTTGAAACATTCTCCTTCAGTTATGAATTGATATCAGACTGATTGTTCGTGGTTCTGTTCATCTTTGCAATAATTTGGGTAAAACAGCGTCTTTTATTCTGGCATGTTTTGGGTAGAAGGTACTGAAAAGTGGAGACAACTTGTGGATGGACATCATGGAATCACAGATGGGTTTGAGTTAGGAGGGACCTTAAAGCCAGTCTCATTCCACCCCCTGCCATGGGCAGCAACACCTTCCTCTATCCCAGGTTGCTCCAAGCACTGTCCAGTCTGGCCTTGGACACTTCCAGGGATCCAGGGGCAGCCACAGCTTCCCTGGTCACCCTGTGCCAGGGCCTTACCTCCCTCACAGGGAAGAATTCCTTCCCAATATCCATCTAAGCCTGCCCTCTGGCAGTGGGAGCCATTCCCCCTTGTCCAAAGTCCCTCCATGCCTTGTCCCCAGTCGCTCTCCAGCTCTTCTGGAACCCCTTTAGGCACTGAAAGGGGCTCTGAGGTCTCCCTGAAACCTTCTCTTCTCCCAGCAGTGTTGAAGAAGCTGCAACTGGCAACCACCTCCTTTCTGTTTATTCACACTGTACTCCCTCCCTTAGGACTTCCTCTTGATGACTTTGCCCCAGGAGTTGAGTTGGGCTTTTCCCTCGGGAATAACGTGCCATTTTAAAGTTTAAAACTCTGTGTTACTCTTAATAAAGTCAAGATTTTTTTATTCTTGTCCCCATATAATTATTCTGCTGGATGATCTTGGCGAATCCAAGAAGAGGATTCCAGTGCCTGAAGGGGGCCTACGAAAAGGCTCTAGAGTGAGTTTTTACAAGGGCCTGGAGTTAATAGGACAAGGGGAAATAGCTTCAGACTGAAAGAGGGCAGGGTCAGATGGGATATTGGGAGGAATTGGATCCCTGTGAGGCTGGTAAGGCCCTGGCACAGGTTGCCCAGGGAAGCTGCAGCTGCCCCATCCCTGGAAGTGTCCAAGGCCAGACTGGAGAGTACTCGGAGCAACCTGGGCTAGTGGAAGGTGTTGCTGCCCGTGCCAGGGGGTGGAATGGGATGGGCTTTAAGATCTCTCCCAACTTAAACAGTCTGTGAATCTTTGATTTAGATCAGGTAATGGGTTAAATGTAACACTGCAGTCCAGTGTGGAGGTAGGATTCCAGCAATTAAAATCACAGCCTCCTGCGTGCCAGCAGTTGCTGGTGCTGTCATCTTCAGCTCAGCAAGTTCTTCTCAACAGAGAGAAGATTACATTTCACTTTATTTTACCCAGGAGCGTTCAAGGTGTGTGGCAGCAGCACCTGCTCGAGCAGAGCCATAGGTAGGAGTAAATAAACAGCTGTGAGCCAAACTTCAGGGTGGGAGTCTTGGTGTGTAGTCAGTGCCCATCCTTGGGATGTTACAGGGATTATGGGATGAGCATGTGGTTTTTCAGAAAGAGCCTACAAAGCATTACGTGCCTTCAGCTTTTCTCATCATTCAGTAAATCATAGTTTATTGTTTAAAGGTTGTGTCTGACCATGCTATTAACACCCCCATGTCGCTGGAGCTACAGCTCTTTCTGAAATTAAGGAGAGGGCAGTCAAGGGGAGGTCTGGTTTTGCAGGGAGAAATCAAGACTATTTTGTTTCGCCTCTCATGGCTATGGCACCATGGCAATCATGGGCTTGATTTGAGACCCTGCAGGGGAACTGCCATCCTCTCTGGCTGCACCTCCAGCACCTCTGGCAATCAACAGCACCACATTCATAAACAAATAATATAAATTCAATATAAATAATGCTTATATTCATCTCTGGCAGCTGCCTCTTATCTCCTGAGCCACACTGGCTCATTTGCCGTGGAGCTGCGTCCTGGAACCATCCATTGTTCCTTTTGTAGCACTGAATGGTGTTTTAATGCAGTGCTCGAAACAACTGCGCAGTTTGGGCCAGTGCAAAGCTTTAGAAGCTTTAGGCCATAGATAAACTTTGGAAAAAGGCTGCACAGACATGAAAGGCTGCACCCGTGTGATGAGGTCTTGGCCTGTTGTCCAAAACAGCTGTCAAAGACTTTATCAGGAGCAAGATGGTGCATTAATGGAGCCAGCAGCATTTCATGGGTTTCCAGAGAAATCACAGTGTTGTGTTTGGTAACAGTGAGCTGGAGAATTCCACTTCATTTAGCAATGGGAAGGATCCTTGGAAAAGGCTACAGGAGCAATAGAGCCATCAGTGGTAGTAGTGGAGATTGTACTATTTTCATTCAGATCTGTCTTGAGCATTGAGCATCCCTGCAGCCACAGCTATCTTCTCCTTAATAAGATAAAATGCAGCAGGCACGTAGTTGAAAAAGGGAAAAATGGGATTTTAATGGTGGCAAAGTAACATGCTGTGGGTTGCTGTTGTCCTTCCTGAAGTGCCCCTCAACTCCAGACTTCAGGCGCTTTTTTTATA